CCTATTCTGTCCCATCCTGCTCTTCTTAGAGCCACTTAATTCTCTTTAGCTCCATGTAAAGAACTAGAATATGTATCAGTGTGGATACACCTGAGAGTTGGCATGTGAGTTTTCCAGGATCAGGTTGGTTTGTGGGGGTCCCGCAGGTGGAAGTTCTTGGATGAATTCTTGAGCCACTGTTTAAAGTTCGATGACTTGAGGCTTCCTGGGGCAGGCTCCTACAGAGCCCCTGTTGGGAACCTGGACCGAGGATCAAGGGTGGGGAATGGGGCAGGAAGAAAAAGGATCCAAGACAACTTTTCTGGAGTAACAAATGCTGTAGGGAAATTTTCATAAGATAATGTGCTGGGACATGGTTTGGGAAGCAGTAGCAACTTCCTTTGGGGAGGTGAGCGATGGTCTCTGTTAGGAGCTGGGCGAAGTCTGGAGGGTGAGAAGGAGCCATGAAGAGGCGCTGCATAGGGTGTTCCAGCTGGCAAGAATAGCAGGTGCAAAGGCCCTGTGGAAGGACTGAGCCTGGGTGTGTAGAGGGCAGGAAGGAGACCATGACTGGCCCTGGGAGTGGGCGTGGTGGCATCAGCAGGGGCTGGATCCCATGGGGCATGTGGGCTTTGGCAAGGAATTTACTCTTTTTCTCTAAGCCTGTGTGGTCTTATAAAATTGAAATTAAAGTGAACTAAAATGAAACAGATGTTTGATTCCTCGGGAGAAGCTGGAAGTTTGGGGCACTGTTGGTGGGAATGTAAGATAGCTCAGCTACTGTGGAGAACAGCATGGTGGGGCATCAAAAAATTAATAGAATTAGGGCAGGTGGTGTAGCTCATTGGTAGAGCACGTACTTAGCATTTGTAAGGCCCTGGATTCCATCTCCAGCACTGAAAGAAAATTAATTAATATACAATTCAACAATTCAACTTCTGGGTGTATAGATAGAAGAATTGAAAGCAGGAATTTGAAGAGATGTTTAGGCACAGTGTTCATAGCAGTGTGATTCATAGTAGCCCGAAGCTGGAAGCAACCCCAAGTGTCCATGTGCAGATGAATGTTTCAACAAAAATGGGTCCCCAATTCAGCCATAAAAAGGAATCTGGCCCAGGCTACCCCATGGATGGGCCTCAAGGACATACTGCTCATAGCAAGATGCCAGCCAGAAAAGGACAAAGGACTGGACTCCAAGGAGATCCCTGGAGCCCTCAGACCCCAGAGACAGGAAGTCGATGGCAGGTGCCAGGGAGGGACAGGGAGTTCGTGTTTCAAGGGAGGGATAGTTGCATGACCTGATCTATGTACTTAACAATAGTCAAGACACAGCAGGTTGATGCTGTGTGCATTTTACCACAATTAAAGTTTGGCTTCCCGGTTGCACTAAGCACATTTCAGCAGCCACAGGGGAGAGGCAGCGTCTGTGTTGGACAGTGCAGAGAGGTGACATTTCAGTCCACACAGGAAGTTCAATCAGACGGTGCTGCTCGGAGGTGCAAGGCCACTTCTGTTCCCTGGATGTGGCCAGTGGGAGATCCCTTGGAGCTGGGAAGGCTTGCTGTGACAATCAAGAGCCTGGAGACTTTTTTGCCTTGCAGTACTGGTAATTGAACCCAGGGCCTTGACACCAAGCTACATGCCCAGCCCCGTCCCCCTTTTAAAATTGGAACAAGGTCTTGCTGTGTTACAGAGTTACCCAGGCTGCCCCCCAGCTTGTGATTCTCCTGCCTCAGCCTCTCAGAGTGCTGGTATTATATAAGCATGCGTCACCATGCCCTAGGTGATTTTGAGTGAATAGCTCTCCTGGCTCCCAAATGCTGTTTACAGCTCTGCAGGGAGTATGGGAAGGAGGCAGCTTTGAGATTTGGCCAGGTTCATGGTCAGGGGTGGTTTAACCTCTTCCAGGCTGTCTGCCCGCTTAGGAGTTTGTTGACAGCCTGGGCAGGAGAATGGGACAGGGCACACAAGACTGGGATGCCAAGGGACTGAAAGGACGGAGTAATCAGAAGTTAGGAGTAGAGGCGAGGGTGGGGTGGGGCATGTGCATAAGCTGGTGGAGGAAGCTAGAGTTCAGGCCTGCCTTGTGGGCTGAACAAGTTCAGTGGCATCGAAGAAAAGAGTCCCTTCAGCCAAAAGTGTGTGCATAGACTCTACTGTCACCTGTGGAGTCATCTCCTTCCTGATCATGATTTTTGTTTGTGTGTTTGTTTTGTTTTTTGTTTTTTTGCAGCGCTGGGATGGAGCCCAGTGCCTTGCACATTCTAGGGAAGCTCACCTCAGAGCTCCACCCTTAGTGCTTTTTAAAAATTTTATTTTGTGTTTTTCACTTGGAGACAAGAGTCTCACTACATTGCCCAGGCTGGTCTGGAACTTGTGATCCTCCTCGGAGTAGCTGGAATCGCAGGCTCTGTTTCCTACCGCATTTTTCTACTATTTGTGCCTTTGAGGTTACTTGCTACATTGTAGCTGTAGTAGATACAGATTGTATCTACTATTGGAAATACGCGGCAGGGTGTGCTTCTGTGTATTGTGTCTCTTTGCCAACTCTATGCTTAGCGGCTTCCTGTGGGTAGCCTGAAATCAACCATAGAAATTGGCAAATGCTCCAAGTCAGGGCCTCTCTGCCCGCTCCCCTGGGGGCCTGCGGGGCATTCACCAGCTCAGCACCCGTTTGGGGGCTTCCTTGAGTTAGATGTGTGTGGCCCGTGGCAAGTGCGGTGGAAGTGTGGCTGTTACTGTTATTATTTTGCTTGGCTTCCATTCCTGCATCTAGGGTTGCTGCATGTGTAGACAGAACTTGGGCAAAGCCCTTGACCAGCTGTGCTGCCTTTCTCTTTCCAGTCTGCCCGACCATGTGCAAGTCCCACGGCTGTACCACCGAAGGCCTCTGCTGTCACAGCGAATGCTTGGGCAACTGCTCCGAGCCTGATGACCCCACCAAGTGTGTGGCTTGCCGAAACTTCTACCTGGATGGCAGGTGCGTGGCGTCCTGCCCGCCTCCCTACTACCACTTCCAGGACTGGCGCTGTGTGAACTTCAGCTTCTGCCAGGAGCTGCACAATAAATGCAAGAACTCTCGCAGGCAAGGTTGCCACCAGTACGTCATTCACAATGACAGGTGCATCCCTGAGTGTCCCTCTGGGTACACGATGAATTCCAGCAAGTAAGTCCTGGGTGTGGGACTGGGGAGGGAGGCAGCAAAGAGGGAAGGAGTCGGGGGCTGGTGGTGATAGGTAAAGCTGTGCACTGTGGTTAAAGCTGGTGATCATGATTTACTTGGTAAAGCTGCATGCTGGCCAGAGTGGTGCACACCTGTCATTCCAGCTGCTTGGGAGGCTGAGGCGGGAGGATCGTGAGTTTGAGGTAGGCAACTTTGTCTCTCCAAATAAAATAGAAAGGGCTTGAATGTAGCTTAATGCTAGAGCGCTTGCCTAGCATGTGTGAGTGCTGGGCTCCATTCCCAGAGCTGCAAATAGATAAATAAATACTGCGTGCAAAGCCAGAGTTAATTGGCTGTGAACGAGGTTACAGTCACTGACAGGAGGCTGACTGGTGATGGGCTTGGATCTCTTGGATGCCATTTTTGTCCCCTGTTTTGGTCCTGAGCTTTGATGCAGAAGTTGAAAGTTGGTTTTTTTTTTTTCTTGAAAGGACCAGAAAGTAAACATTTGCAGTGTCTTTTCCTGCATATCTAAACTTGCTAGGCTTTGGTTCAGAAAGGAAAACTTAAAGGTGGAAGCCTTTCATCTCCCCTGGAGTCCTCTGTGTGGATTGTCCTCAGGGATAGAGCGGCCTCATTGTTACATTGTTACAACATTCTGTTGTTACATTGCTACATTATTGTATCATTGCATAGTTATACTGTTACATGATTATATCACTACATTGTTACACTCTTGTATTGTTACCGTGGTGGTCTGAGGCTGTAATCCTGGCACTCGGGAGGCTGAGGCAGGAGAATCCCTCCGAGTTTGAGGCCAGCCTGGGCTACATAGTGAGACCCCATCTTAAAAAAAATAATAAAATAGAATGTAGCTGAGGTTCCTCTTGTCTCCTCCAGCTGAAGCTGGGATATATGATGGGGTTAACCCAGGAAGCACTATTTCAAGGAGGAGGAGAATCACTCCTGCAATATTCCTGGGGTTTTGCATCAAACCACTTTCTACCCTTTGGGTAAGAAATGGCAGCATTTTCTCATTGGTTGTGAGTCAAATCTCCTCACACATCCAGATGTTTCGTTAGCTTCTGAGATGAGGTATTTCAGTGTCTGAGGCCATAACCAAGGTTAAAAAAATCTGTTTCCCGGATTTTTTTAATGTGTGGAGGGTTAAAAAAAAAAACCCAGCACCACAAAACAACACAAAAACAAATCAGAAACAGACGCACGTGGGAGGCCTTGAGGGGCCCTGCTTACGTAAAAAAAATCTTCCTCTTCAGACTTGAGAATTAGCCAAGCGAGAGTGTTCTGGTGGGAAATTTTATTTTCCTGGGTGGAGAGAGGGTGGGAAGAAAAACAACTTTTATTTTCGTTCTTAGGAACCTTTCCTTTAGTGTTTATGGAACCAGAAAGTACAATATGTTTTATTTTACTCATTTTTGATTTAGGAAACAAAACAAAATGAAAACATCAAATGGCTTTGTTGACCCAAAATAGTTCACTATAAATCACCTTTGTATGCTGAATAGACCCTTCTTTTTTTTTTTTTTTTTTTGAGGGGGCAGTTTAATGTTAAGTTTGGAAAAGTGACTGTTTTCTTTTGGATTGCTTCTGTTCTCCCTCCCACATTTGAAAAAAATGTATTAATGGCATCGGGTGAGATGCTTATTTGAAAGGCATTGGCTTTAAATAAAAGGTATTTTTCCCCTTCCATATGTAAGGTTTAAGAAATATAGCAACTATCTTTGATGTTTACATTGATGGTGTGTGAAAACTTAAACTTCCTAAGAAATACATCCTTTGTGAGCCAGGTGTGAGGGCTCATGTCTGTAATCCCAGTACGGGGGAGGCTGAGGCAGGAGGATTTCCCCAAGTTTGAGGTCAGCCTGGGCTACATAGTGAGTTCAGGGCCAGTCTGAACTACATAGTGAGACCCTTTAAAAAGAAGAGAGAGAGAGAGAGAGAGAGAGAGAGAGAGAGAGTGAGAGAGAAAAGAAAAAAGAAATATATCTTTTGTGACAGTACATCCTTTAGTGCTGGGAATCTTCCCGGAATAGAAGATAAAATGCAGGAGCTACTAATGATGCATATGGCGTTATTTTACTCTACAAGTTAAAAAAAAATTAAGCAAATATGTTTACTTCTGAAGTTTTTATTTTATGGAAGGCTTTATAGGACTGTTGCATTGGCCAGGGTGGTTTGACATGAGTGAGAACAAGATGTGTATCGTTGCCATTTGCTGTGGCTCATCTGGGGTGCAGCTCTGTGTGGTTCGAGAGCAGGGTTCTGGGAGCCCACACAGATGCACTAAGGCGCCTCACCTCAGTGGTCGCCCCGAGGTCCCGGTGGGGTCAGCAGGGTGCCCTTCCTTTCCTGACATGCACAAACCAGAGGCTGGAGTCTTCTGTGGGCGCAGGGCACCTGCTGGGAGAGGGTGTTGAAAATCCTTGCTTTTTTCTTGCCCTCTCTCACTCCCTCCAGTTCCACAATTGCTGTGGTCACATGGGGCCATTCTCAAACTTTGCCAGGTTCATTCTCGGGCACATCCTTCCTTTTAAACTCTTTTCATGGCCTTTCTCACTAGGTGGTATTTTCAGTGTCAGTGTATTTTTTCTCCCTTGCAGATTGTGAGCATCGTGAGCGTGTCAGTTAGCACTTGCTGTGTAACAAATCTCTCCAATGCAGGATGGCTTAAAACAACGCACATTTATGAGTCCTGTGATTTTGTGGCATGGCTCATGGTTCATTTGGCCTGGGCTGGTTTAGCAGTGGCTCAGCTGATTAGGAGAGGCCTTCCATGTTTCAGGTGGGTAGCTGGGGCCTGTTGCCATGAGGTTTTTCACCATAGCAGCCAAGAAGAGTGAGCCCCAGTGTGCAAGTGCTATTCAAGCCTCTGCCTGGATCACATTTGCTAATAAATGTCCTATGCGCTTCAGGGAGCCACATGGCTAGGCCCAGATTCAGCAGGTAGGGAAATAGCTGTTCTTTGAGGGAGAGGCTGGGAAGAGACTTCAAAGAACTTGTGGCTGTAATCACAGAGCAGAGGATCTGCGTTGTTTGCTCATGGGGACCCGCAGCATGAAGCAGGGTTGGCAAAGGGCCAGAGAGTAAACATTTTCAGCTCTGAGGGCTTTGTGGTCTCCACTGCACTGGCTCAGCTCCGACTCAGTAGGTACCGACCAACAGTGTTCCAGAGAGCTGTTCTCTGCAAACACAAGTGCTCAGCTGGGTTTGGGCCATGGGCTGTGCTAACTCTGAGCTTCGAGTGTCACCTGTCACTGAGGTGTGGAGCCAATATAAGCACCCAAACATTTGGTCACCAGTCTTCTTCCAGCCCAGCTGTTCTGACACCGTCTGGGGCGTTGTAGCCCAATTCTGACCTCAACCATGCAGACTCCCAAAGGGGAAGACTCAGTGTTCTGCAAGACTGCCCTTACCTCAGACACTGGCCGCACTTTGGGGACTCCCCAGCACACTCACAGTTTGGGCCAAGTAGCTATAAATTTGGGGACTCCTCAAATGCTTTGGGTTTGGTCATTTATTAGAATGACTTGGAACTCTGTTATGTACTGGTCAGCTTTTCCATCGCTGAGACAAAATGCTGGATACCCATGAAGGAGGAGAGGTTCATTTTGGCTCATAGTTTCAGTGGGTTCAGTCCATGGTTGCCTGGCTCCAAGGCAGAAGTATCCTGTGGAAGAGCCTGGTGGAGGAGAGCTGCTCCTATTATGGCAGGTGGAAGGAGATGGAGAGAGGAGAAGCCCAGGACAAGAATACATTGTTTCACGTCACACTCCAGTGACCACGTGCACCAGGCTTTACCTCCTAACAGCACATTTAGCTACTCAACTCATCCATGCATGAATCCACTGATGGGTACAGCACCCCATGAGCCAACCTCCTTCTGTACACACGGTCCTGTGGGGTCACTTAGATCTAAGCCGTCGCCACTCACAACGGTGGTATTATTACAAAGGTGACATGAGAGTAAAGTCTGGGAGAGTCATGGAGCGTCTGTGCCCTCACCCTGCGGAATCAGAGCAGGCCACCCTCTCGGTGCACGGATATGACCCCTGCCCTGCAGCTTCAGCAAGCTTCGGTGTCTCTGGTGTTTGTTGGGGTCTCACTCTCAGTTGATCACGTCATTGGCCACGTGGTTGAATTCCACCTCCAGCAGCCTCTTCTTTCCTTAGAGTCAGGCAGCTGAAAACCCCAACCCTTTAATCACATGGGGACCGGGACTCCCATCCCAGTCACCTGGGGACCGGCGACAAGTCACCTCAGCACTCCTAATGAACACGTTCCTGTCAGTCAGGAAATTCCAAGAGTTTCTGAAGCTCTGAACCAGAAACCTGGACAACTTCCCAATACACAGACGACGTCTCTTGGCATCTATGGGGGACTGGGCCCGGGACTCCCATCAAACACCAGAACCTGTGAATGTTTCCTGCCCTGGGTGTGGTGGCATATCCCTGTCATCCTAGCACTCGGGAGGCTGAGGCAGAAGGATCGCCACAAGCCTGGGTTACATAGTGAGCTCAAGACCTCACTATGGTCAGAACTTGCCTCTAAAACAAAAGAGCAAGAAAACAGTGTAGTACAGGTTCAGGGGCCCTTTTGCCAAATACTGGGAACCAGAAAATTTCAGATATGGGGTTTTTTTTTTTCAGATTGTAGACTATTTGAACAAATGTAAGATATGCTGGGGATGGGATGCAAGCCTAAACATGAAGTTCATTTACGTCTCATGCATGTGATATTCACATGGCCTGAAGGTTATTTTATATAATATTTTTTAAAAAGTTTTTTTTTTTCATGAAGCAAAACCAAGGCTGTCTTGTCTTGTCCAGGATTCTCATGGTGAGGAACGATGGAACGGTATATTCCAGGACTGGGGAGGTTTCAGGTTTGGGAGATTTCAGGTTTTAGACTTTCACGTTAGGGATGTGCAGCCTGTCCTGGCAAGTGACTGTGTGCCTCCTCCCATAATTCCTCCCCAGATTCCTGATGATACCTAATAGAGCGCCAAGCCCTATAGAAATAGTCGTGACTATTGTGTAATAATGACAGGAATAACAGGGAATAACGACAGGAAAAGTTGTGATCTTTGGTTGGGGGAACCCCCAGATGTGGAACTCACAGATCAGAATTACACAGATGTGCAGGGCTGACTGTGGTCTTTATCACAACCTAACCCCCGGATCTTTCTGAAGAGGTGAATGCACAGGGGTGTGGAGGTAACCATGGAATGATGATATGACAATAAGAAGTGATCATCAGAGTAATTAATAACAATTTTTGTAAGCTGGGCAGGGTGGCACATGCCCGTCATCCCAGCACTTGGGTGGCTGAGGCAGGAGGATCGCTGAGTTCAAGGCCAGCCTGAGATATGTAGTGAGACCCTGTGGCACACACACAACCGGCCCCCTAAATCAACAAACCAACAAACCAACCCCCAGAAACAAAAACAAAAAAGAGCTTAAGGCTTTGTTTTAATTTTTTTTTTTTGGTACTGGGGATTGAACTCGGGACCTCGCACTTGCGAAGCAGGTGGCAGCACCACTGAGCTAAGTCCCCAGCCCTCTGTTTTAAATTTTTGTTTTGTTTTCTGCATCCCAAGCTTTTTGTGTGGTATGTATTCTGTGAAATCTAACAACTCGGGGCATTGGCTTTGCCTCTGTTGTACCCATGAAGAGCCTGAGTCTTTGAGAATGTCTCAGTTGGGAAGCTTGTGGCTTTGTGTGCTGGAATCCCAACCCAAACTGGCTCAAGCAAGATTAAAGGCATTTACTGGTGCCCACAGCCCAAGAATTCAGGAACTGCTTCAGGTCCAGCTGCATCCAGGAGCTCGAGGAGCACACATGAGCAGTCTCTTTCCATCTCCCGCCTTTATTTCACTCTGTTGCTTTTGTCCTCAGGCAGCTTCTCCTCCACCCATGGCGCCATGCTAGCAAGCTGGCAGTGTCCCCTTAGAGCCTACCACGAGATGATGTGTCTTTCCAGAAGGTTCTAGCAAACCCTTCATGGGACTGGCTGGCACCGTGCTTTTTCCTCTGTGCCTCCTCAGGGGTGTAGGGTGGTGGCCAGCCTGCTCTGGTCCCGTGCCCTGCCTGGACCTAGCATGGCGTGGCAGTCACGAGCTGAGACTGTGTGTGGAGCACTGGTTCGTCAAGGACCCCTGGGGCTGTGGATCTATGGTGTGAAGCTGTAGAAGGCAACGCCAAGGGCTGCCTGAGTCCCCAGCGGTCAGCCTGGAGGGTCACAGCAGAGGCGCAGCCACCGGCGCCATCTCCTTGAGTACTGAGCTGGTTCCGCCATATGGAATCATGGCGCCTGTCACCAGTGGTGGCCCTGAGTGCTGTGGCCCCGCTGCCCCTGTTGGGCTGGAGGTGGTCCTGGCTTCACAGGGTGCAGTGGGGATCCCCTCACCTCTGGGTGCCCCGAGGCCCGCTCTGCGCCTACAGGGGGCCGTGTGCATCTTGTTCGGGTAAAGCCTTGTGTCCCCGACCTCAGGGGGACCCTGTAGGATCTGCCCAGGGCAGAAATGACAGAAGTTTCTCCTCTCCAGGCAGTGGTTCTCATGGGGCTGTGCTTTGCTGTCCTCCCTGCCCAGGGGACAACTGGCAATGTCCAGGGACATTCTGCATGGTCACAGACAGGGCAGGGGTTGCTACCGGCAGCGAGGGGCCGGGAGGTGTGCAGGGCAGCTCTGCCGTGAGGAGCTGTCTGGGCTGGGCGTCGCTGCTGCCCCAGGGGACTCCCTGCCTGCCCGCTCGCCTGCGAGTGCCCTCCTTGTGCCCTTGCGCCCTGACCGGTCTCTGCTCCATCCGCAGCTTGATGTGCACCCCGTGCCTGGGCCCCTGCCCCAAGGTCTGTCACCTCCTGGAAGGCGAGAAAACCATTGACTCCGTCACGTCGGCGCAGGAGCTTCGAGGCTGCACTGTGATCAACGGGAGCCTCATCATCAACATCCGGGGAGGCAGTGAGTGCGCTGGGCGGGGCGTCTGGTTCCTCGGCAGCTGAGAGCTGGGAAAAGGTGGCTCAGGCCTGTCATTCAGCACTCTGGGAGGCTGAGGCAGGAGGGTCAGAAGTTCAAGCTCAGCCTGGGCAACATGGTGACGTGGTGGGGCCCTGTCTCAAAAAAAAAATCTTATTTTTCAAGTTGGGAGTTAGGAGATCAGGAATCTGGGTTTGGTAACCAGCAGGAGATAGACGCTATTGTGCATCTAGAGATCGAACTTTCAGGAATTCTGTCTTGGGCAAAAAGGCATTTCTGTGTTTATTTATTCAGCAAACATGGATCGAGCACTCACGAGGGAACAAGGCCACGTGCTTACTCTGATGGATTTTAAAAATAAGTAAATCAGGCCGGGCGTGATGGTGCACGCCTCTCATCCCAGCACTGGGGAGGCTGAGGCAAGAGGATCGCTCGAGCACGAGGCCAGCCTGGGCTGTATAGTGAGATCCTGTGGTACCCAAAGCCACAATGTTCAGGACTCTTATAGTCAATGGTGTAATGTTCCCGTAGAACTTCCTTACACCCCCAGTAGACTTTATGTCTTCTCTCGATGACTTGGAACACCTGATGCAATGTACAGGCTGTACAAACAGCTGATCTCCTGTAGCGTTAACTTTAGGCAATAATGACCAAAACAATTCTGTATGTGTTCCGTGTAGGTGTCATTTTTTTTTTTCCAAATACTTTTGCTCTTCATTTGGTTGAATCCACAAATTTGGGGCCCGTGGATATAGAGAACCAGCAGTGTTCAGCTTTGTATTGTAAAGCTGGGTGTCATAACTCAGCTCTGCTCTTTTAGTGTGAACACAGCCATAGGCACAGGTTGACACATGGGCAGGGGCTCTGTTCCGGTAAAATTGTATTTATAAAACAGGCTGCAGTGGGCCAGTGGGCTGTAGCTTGCCAACCTGTGAAATAGAGATGAAAGGAAGTTGCTATTTTAAGAAGCTTCCAGTCTGGGGAAGGAAGGATTGAACTTGTGATGCAACAAGCCAAGCAGATATATAGGGGATTTTTTTTTTTTTTCCGGTCGAAGGAGGCAGTCAGTGCAAAGGTTCTGAGGCAGGAGTAAGGAACAGAAAGGACTTTGGATTGTTTTCTGAGCATGACAGGTTTGGTGTGTTGAAATCATTCGCAACCTGCTGGTGAACTCCCCACCACGAGAAATTATGGGAATATTAAAATGTTTCTGTGAATACTCATAGAGTGCTCTCTTCTTTCTGTAGACAACCTGGCAGCAGAACTGGAGGCTAACCTCGGCCTCATTGAGGAGATTTCAGGGTATCTAAAAATCCGCCGATCCTATGCTCTTGTATCACTTTCCTTCTTCCGGAAGTTACGCTTGATTCGAGGGGAAACCTTGGAAATCGGGTAGGCGTCGCTGGTTCTGTGTTTGTGGCTCAAATGTTAACTAGGAAACTTGTGAATTAGAAACACTTAAGGGTTTCTGTTTTTAAACCCCAAAGAAAAAATACATCTGTTCAGAAAAAGGGCCGGTAAAACCCGGGAGGAAGGAACTTGTCTTGGAATTGCCTGAAGGTCCCAGCCTCAAGATGTGTAATCCATTGTCCTTCTTCTCAGAAAGCCTCAGGGTTACAGCCTTACCTTCGTGCACCCGAGGGCACCTGCTGGCTCCTCCTGCCCGGAAGAGGTCTCTACTGACTTCTCTCCTTACCCCAAGCCTGACTTTCTAGTTGCCCCCAGGTGACTTCCAGGTCCCTCAGAAGCAACGAGTCCCCTCCTTGCCCTAGTCATCCACGCCCATTTCTGGGACACCTCTCCCCACCCCGCACCTTCTCTTTGAGGTCCTGGTGACCCTGTTTTGGAAGATCATTCAGCATTGCTGTGGAGAATGTGGATTCTTTGTCTTTTGTGCTCCTCGTGGTCACAAGATGGCTGCCTTTTCTCCACTCTCCTCAATAGAACAGGCAGGAAATAAGGAAAGGGTCAAAAGAACGTGCCAGCTGGCACTAATGTTTAGACCACTTTCTGGACTCACTCACCAGCTCTTGCTGATTCTTCTGTCACAAAACTGCCCTTTTCAAGTCCAGGGCTTTCATTTGGATGACTCCATTGCTTCCTTCTGGACCAGTGTTGTCCAGAAGAATTAGGTTACAAGTCACATGTGGATTTTAAATGTTACAGGAGCCACACTGTAAGAACCTGAAAAGAAACAGGTGAGATGAGACTCACTCATCAAGCTGACCCAGCCCACGATACCCAAAATGTTATTCCAACATGGAAGTAATTTTAAGAAGATTATCCAGATGATCTTTTACATTTCTTTTGTTTTTGTTTTTTGCTGTATCTTTGAAATCGTGGTTTTTGCTTCCAGAATGACTTGGAATGGCCCTGTTTCAGGGGCTCAGTGGTTACGTGATACATAGATCACGGCTTCTGTGTTTGATGCGTGGGTCTACATCCTTTCCTCTTCCTGTTTACCACCTGCTGGCTGCCTGTTAATTGTTGTGGGTTCCAGAGCTAATGAAGTCAGGGAGGTGGTATAAAACAAGCCCTTCTTACACCGGGAAGAGTGGCCATCACCAAGAACTCAAATTATAACAAATGCTGGCAAGGGTGTAGGCAAAAAGGAACCCTTCTGCATTGTTGGTGGGAGTGTAGAGATTCCTCAAAAAACTAAAACTAGAAATTCCACTAGACCCAGCTATTCCCCTTCTAGGTATCTCCCCCAAAGAGTTAAATCATCATATTGTAGTGATCCGTGCATACCCATGTTTATAGCCGCACAATTCATCATAGTTACATCTTGGGTGAGGCCTGTATGTCTATGAACAGATGAATGGATAAAGAAAATGTGCTATTTATATACTGGGGATTTAGCTCAGTGGTTCCACTGCCTGCCTTGCACACATAAGGTCCTGAGTTTGATGCCTGGTACCAAAAAGAAGAACCCGAATGGTTGCTTTTTTGCCTCTTGAAAGAGAGTGAGAGAGAATGAAAATGTTCTAACCATATTGTTTTGGGTTTACTTTTTTTTTCTTTTTTTTTTTTTTTTGGTACCGGGGTTCGAACTCCAGTCCTTGCGCTTGCACAGCAGGTGCCAAAAGCACTGAGCGAAATCCCCGGCCCTTGGGCTTACTTTTTAATAAATTACTCTGAATCTGTAATATCTAATTTATGACTTAAATACCCTACAGGCTGTTGAGCAGCTCCTCAATCTTGTATAAACACTCCCAAAGCCATGTCTCGCCTTTTATTAACTTACAAACTGAAATAGTGTCCTGTAGGCAGGCTCAGTGGTGCCACAAGAAAGATAAACTTGAGACATTCGTGGGAAAATGGATGCACCTTGAGACCCTAATGTTAAGTGAAATAAATCAGATATAAAAGCTTAAAAATCCCATGGGATCTCTTATATGAGAAACCCAAGGTGTAAATAAATCAAAGAGCAAAACAGAAGATACACAGTAAGAAACAGGGAGATAGATCCTTTGCAGATGTGCACCTGAGTCAACTCTCCATGATGAGTGTAATCATTATGTACTGCAGAAGTGTTTAGATAAAAATAAAAAGTAAAAGAATAAACAAGCCATTCAGGGTCTCCTCTCACCCTGCTTCCCACCGAGGAAGGCTGAGTGCTCTTGGTCTTGTTTGGGAGTGCAGTACACTAGACCTGCCCACTGCAGCTTCCTACTATTTATTGGCACCTGCTGGCCAAAGCAGGCTCCTCCTCAGCTCCTCCCTGGGGCCAGGTTTCTGACCTTTGTGTCTTTAATCTCTCCTCCCTACCAAACCCGTTTTCAGTCTACCGCAGTTTCCCCTCCCACCCCAGACGGAACTCAGATACCTTTCTGGCCATGCAGAACTGCTCAACCTCCCCGTATCCCCGCTCAACGTGTATTTATTGAGTTCATGCCCAGCAAGTGTTAGGACTGGGCTTCTCCATAACCCCAAACAAGGTCCACTCCCCACGTAGCTTCTGCCATCGTGGGGTGGAGGAAGAGCTTTGGAATGACAAGGGTTTTGTGTGTTTCTGTAGGAACTACTCTTTCTATGCCTTGGACAACCAGAACCTAAGGCAGCTGTGGGACTGGAGCAAACACAACCTCACCATCACTCAGGGGAAACTCTTCTTCCATTATAATCCCAAACTCTGCCTGTCAGAAATCCACAAGATGGAAGAAGTTTCGGGAACCAAGGGGCGCCAGGAGAGGAACGACATTGCCCTGAAGACGAACGGGGACCAGGCATCTTGTAAGTAGTGCTCCCTGGGGCTCTGAGCCTTGGACCAGATGATGCGGCTGCCCTGGCCAGGCCCCTGCACTGGCCTCCGGGGGAGTCATCACTGTTGTCACTGTCTGCCAGGGAGGGACAACTCCTTCCCGATGGGCTTTCTCCAGGGGAAGCTCAAGGCCATGGCTGTCTGCAGAGGAGGAGGACTGGGCCCCTGCTCAGGCCTGGCATGGGTAGAGGCTGTTGGGTCAGACGCCCCTGTGGGAAGCCGTCTCCTCAAGGCAAAGGGTGAGGTGGGGTTGGGATGGAGCTGATGGGAGGGCTTGCAGCCCAGGCACAGGGAATTAGCTGTGTCCTTCCAGAGTTTAACAATCTACAGTTTGACTGAAGTCATTTGCATCCACAGGTTACACCCGCCACACCAGGCTTGAAGACCACATTGTACCTAGGCAAATGTTACCCTGAAAATCCCTGAATCCCTTCTCAGTAATGGTGGGCCAGTTCTCTTTTCTGTCTGTCTGTCTGTTTGTCTGTCTCTGTCTGTTCCTTCCTTTCTGTTTTTCTTTCTTTCATACTAGAGATTGAACCCAGGGCTTTTGGACTGTACAACATCACTAGTCCTTTTTCCATTTTTTATTTCAAGACAGGGTCTCACTAAGTCATTAAGTTGCCCACGCTGGGCTGGAACTCGTGATCTTACTGCCTCAGCCTCCCACGGGCTGGGACAGTTGTGCTTGCATTGGCATGAATCGCCCCTCCTTCAGATGAGTATCTGGCCAGCAGACTGGCTCGCGTGAGAGGCCCAGTTGCACAAGCTGTCCTTGCCTTCCAGAGCCTCCCCTCTGTTCACACCCAGCAAGACCAGATCCTGGACGCTCAGCTCACACAGGGAAGGGACCTGTTCAGGGAACAGCAAGTCCCCTGTCCCCTCCAGGAAGTATGGGCTAAGTCGTTTTGGACAGAAATGCCTTATTCAGTACTGCAGCAGCTTGATTTTTTTTTTTTAATTTTCTAGGTGAAAATGAATTACTTAAATTTTCATCCATTCGGACAAGTTCTGACAAGATCTTGCTGAGATGGGAGCCCTACTGGCCCCCCGACTTCAGGGACCTCTTAGGATTCATGCTCTTCTACAAAGAGGCGTAAGTAGAGGGGCAAAGCGTGAAGGGAATGGGGTGGACGGGTGCTCAGCTCTTCCCTGGGCTTCGTCTCTGTTCCTTCCTTCTGGGGGAATAAATATCATAGGTTCTGCTTTCCCATCCCACCAGTTCATCACATACAAAGTGAACAGTAATCCCTTTTGCCAAAAGTCAGAAATCGAAGCAGTTTTCCTTTTGGAGGCCTTTTAAAATTTTATTTTACTTTATTTTGAGACACATCTTGCTGTGTTGTTTAGTCTGGCCTTGAACTCCTGGGCTTGAGTGATCCTGCTGCCTCAGCCTCCCAACTGCTGGAATTCCAGGCCTGCGCCACCATGCCTGGCCATTGTAAGCCTTTTGAAGTGCACAATTTCAGTGGCATGAAGTACATCCATGATGTTGTGCATCTGTCTCCACCATTCAACTTCAGAATGCTTACATCCTCTGAAACGGAAATTCTGTAGCCATTAAATAACACCTATAGTCATTTTGACTATATGGCTCTGCTGGAATTCTTTGCTAATTTTCTTTTGCTTTTTGAGACAAGGCCTCCCTATGTTGTGCAGGCTGTCCTTGAACTCACTACAAACCCTAGGCTGATTTTGAATTCCTGGGTGTTCCTTCTGCCTCAGCTTCCTGAGTACTGGGATTACAGTTGTGTCCTACCATGCCTGCCTTGTGCTGGAAGTTTTCCCCGGTGCTGCAAGTTTTCCCCATTACTGGAAATTGAACCCAGGACCTTCACACTGAAATACATCCCTAGCCCTTTAAAAAAATTTTAATTTTGAGACAGGCTGGACTTGAACTTGTGATCCTCCTGCCTCAGCCTACTGGGCTGCTGAGATCACAGGTGCGCACACACACCACAGCCAGCTGAACTTTCAAGGGAGGCAGCAGAGGTAGTCATAGTGATAATATCAACAAACGTTTCATCTCTCTAGATGTGTGATGGGCCAGACTGAGAGGGCACGCACATTCTCTTCTATAATCACTCTTAGCAATAACTCCGGGGGTGGTTTCTGCCGTTCTAGGTGTTCCCACAGGTCATAAGGTGTTGCCTTCCAAACACCCTCACTTAGCCTCACGGGACTCTGTACGTTCCCCGCTGCCACTGCTCAGCACCACAAGAGAGCACCACAGTGCCTATTGCTGTCCTAGGAGGAGATTAGAACTCAAACTTTGATTCATGGCTCCTACTGAGTGCGAATCACTGTCGCACCCCCATGAGGCTGAAATATTGTGAATGCAGCCATAGCAAGTCAGGGACCGTCACGGCTCCTACATAACCGAGCCGCCTGGATGAGTGCTCCTCTCTTTGTGACTGCCTCCCGGTCATTTTCCCTTGTGACATGACATTCTTGGATAATCAAGAAGCAAATCTGCAGGAGGTAACTTCCCCTGGTGCCTTCTGCATGGTGTCAGGACACCTGTCACACCTTGGTAACCACCTTCCCCCGATTTTGTCCCCAAAGCCCTTATCAGAACGTGACCGAGTTTGACGGGCAGGATGCGTGTGGCTCCAACAGCTGGACCGTGGTGGACATCGACCCGCCCTTGAGATCCAATGACCCCAAGTTGCAGAACCACCCTGGGTGGCTGATGAGAGGTCTCAAGCCCTGGACCCAGTACGCCATCTTTGTCAAGACCTTGGTCACCTTTTCTGACGAGCGCCGGACGTATGGGGCCAAGAGCGACATCCTCTACGTGCAGACGGATGCCACCAGTACGCAGTTCCTGTGAATCTGAATTTGTTCACGAGCCCAATGTCTTGGCTTTGATGAGCGGCACTGAGATGTGCCGTGACACACTCGTTTGTGTGGTTACTGGCTTCTAAAGGACCCAAGGAAGCCAGGCATGGTGGTGCCCTCCTGTCATCCCAAGCACTGGGAAGGCTGAGGCGGGAGAATCACCACAAGTTTGAGGCCAGTCTGGGCTACATAGGGAGACTCTGTCTCCAAAAACCCAAACCAAAACAAACCATTCTGATGGTGCCTCATGGATAGAATAAACTTTCACACAGGAGTGTGTGCAGAGAAGAAACTTATAGTCTCCAGGGCTCAGTGTTCTATATGGCTTCAGACACCCCGGGTGGAGTGGCACATCCCTGGTGGATAAATACGTGGACTGCTGTACAGCTTTTCATCCTATTATGAAAAATTTAAAAATTTTCACGAAGTAGAAAGAATAACTCCACGTAACTGTCTCCTAGCTTCCACATTTTCCCATTTTTGCCTTATCTCCACTTTTCTTCCTTCCCCCTACATTTTTTGGGGCTGGGGCTGGGGTGTTTCATAGCAATTTAGTTATAGGATTTGCAAAACCTCAGTCCTGCAGTAGCAGTAGGTCCCGGATAGGATGATCTGGCTTCTGCAGGAGACATTTGGCACCGTCCAGTGACAGTTTTGGGGGATGGGGTGGGGCCCCTGACTTGTAGTGAGTGGAGACCTAGGATAGCCATCAGCACCCCAAACCCCACAGGCCAGCGGTCCGCGCGTCCCTGGCTGTCTGTGATCTCCGATGACACTGCAGACGGCACCCTCCTGGCCTGGGTCACTGTGTGTCATTCCCTTTCCCCTCCGCAGACCCGTCTGTCCCGCTGGACCCCATCTCCGTGTCGAATTCTTCATCCCAGATAATTTTGAAGTGGAAGCCTCCCTCGGACCCCAACGGCAACATCACGCACTACCTGGTTTACTGGCAGAGGCAGGAGGAAGACAGTGAGCTGTACGAGTTGGATTATTGCCTCAAAGGTGAGCATAGGACACCACGATGCCATTGACTGTGGTTCACTCCACTGAGAGGGACTTTCTCCATGACGTGCAGGATGCATGCACGGATGCATCTCACAAAAAAGCACACACTTTTTTTTTTTTTTAGCACTGGGGATTAAACCGAGGGCTGTTACCTGGTGCTGCATCCCTAGCCCTTTTTCAATTTTTATTTTGAGACAGAGTCTCACTAAGTCAATGAGCTGTCCAGGCTGGGCTCCAACTTGAGATCTGTCTGCCTCAGCCTCCCGGAGTGCTGGGATGACAGGCGTGTGTCACCATGTTTTTAAACATTGTACACAACCGCACATTCTGAAGACTCTTGTTAGAACCAGATACAATCCTGGGACATTTTACAGATGTTTCAGGGAACAGTGAGCAACGTGCCACTTAGTAGCGTCGTGGCCTTCTTAGTTGGTGTCAGGACAGCCTGTTATGGCTGCACACGGACGAAACCACCCAACACTCAATTTCTCAGTAGCCCCAGAAAGAAAGGATGTGGGAATTTATTCTTCACAGCTTGACACCGTTCCCTCAGGACTTTTCTCCTGTCCTCCTTTCTTTCTTCTTCCTCACACTAAAGAGGATGCAGTTGTATTAACCCACCCAAGACTTCTGTGTGAGGCTGGAAACACAGCCAGGCATGTTGAGAGCTTATGGCAGAAGTGGAGCAGGACTTTGGGCTCCCTAAGACCCCATAGTTGTTGTTTTGTTCTGTTCTTTTCAGTGCTAGGATTGGAACCCAGGGCCTCATGCATGCTAGGCAAATGCTTTACCATTGAGCTAAGCCCTTGTCCCTGCCTTTTTAATTTCATGTGGAGACAGTGTCTCAGCAAGTTGCTCAGGATGGCCTTAAGCTTCTGCTCTCCCTGCCTTAGCCTCCCAGAGTGCTGGGATGACAGGTGCACGCCAGCACACCTGGCTAAGACCCTGTCCTTTTAAGTGGGAGACAGTGGGCAGTGATCATGTCCTCTATCTGTTGTTATGCTTTCAGTTGAAAATCTATGTCAATGATAAGTCTTTTGGTCTTTATTCTTTTTTACTTCAAGGGCCTCCATCCAACTGAAGGAAGTGGAAAAATGTTTGAAGCCTCAAACTACTGGTTTCTCTTATATGAGAAACCCAGAGTATAAACAAAGAGCGACATAAAAGATGATAGGAAGTAGGGAGAGAGATATTTCTCAAAGGGGAAAGGATCATGAAGTGGAGGGAGGGGAGGGGATGAAAAAGAAATTAAGATGAGTCACATGTACGCACCAGCTCCACACAGGGAGTGTCAACATGTACTGCAAGCATACAGTGATTTTAAAAGAGAGCTAAGAAAAAACCACACCACCAAATTCGATAAGCTGAGGGCTTTCTTTCTTTTTTACTTCTCTTAGGCCACGTTTGCCGTGATCGCATTCCTTGTGGGGAGCTGGTGCGTGCACAGAACATAGGTTCATACCCTTCTCATCTCTTCCCTCCCTCCCTCTCTTGGTCCTCCTTCTGTTTTTTGCAAAAGATCCACTTCTCTATTTCCCATTACCTCTCTTATTTTTCTTCAGCTAGTTGGTTTGTGCATGCTTTTGAGCTGTTTTTCAGTATGCAACACCCTCAGCCTTTGTCCTTGGAGCAGAAGGGGCCGGGGCTGGAGGGGTGTGGCCAGGGTCTGCTGAGTCCCCTAGCAAGTTACCCTCTGTCCGCCTCCTCTTTGGGAGCGGGGGTGGAGGACAGATGATCTCCAGAGCCGGCCAGCTCGAAGGTCATGTGCTATATGTGTGCCTGCGATGCCATGCCCGCGAGCCCCGGGCTGCTGACGTGATTTATCTCCTTGGTGCTTTATATAACTTGAGAGCAAGCCCGGCCGCACAGCTCTGAGCTGCTGGCTCTGCAGTCAGAATCCAAACCACTAGCCAGGGGCAGAGAAGCCACCAGCGACCTCAGAGCTGTCCTGGCTTGTTTTTTTTTCCTTTTAAAGAGCAACAACTTTTACTCTGATGACTGTGTGACTGTTGGAAACTGGTTTTATGTGGGATTGTCTCAGAGTTTACATAACTGACACTGAACTCACTAAGAGCGAATATCATGGGATTCCAGTTACAGGAGGTCTGTGGGGTGGCTGCACTCGTGGGGACCGGAGGGAGGAAGTCAGGGTTCCCATGCCTTGGGGTGGGGGCTTAGCGTTGACGAGGATGGAGGCTCAGTGCCGGGAGGTGAACGAGTCCCACAGATGGTTGGTGGGATGATTTTACATCACAGATACACTCGACGCCACTGAACTGTAGGCTGAAAAGTGGTTAAAAAGTTACATTTTAAAAATTTATTTACTTAATGACTTTTATGAATACAGGTTTGCAGTGCACCGTGAATATATTCACCACGGGGAATTGGCACGTGTGTAGAGCACATCTCCAATCCACTCCCCTTCCTCTCCCTTTTGTTTTTCCAGTACCAGATTTGTTTGCTTATCTTGTAAGACTTTATGAAGTTAATTATCATATATACAGACTGGAAATCAGACTAATAGGTCAAAGAACATAGAAAACATGTAGGATAATTGTGCTGAGTCAAGGTACACTTTTAGATACATTGTCCACTCTGGATTACAATACTTTGTTTATCTTTTGCTTTTCTTCCTATTACCTGTCATATATGTGTATATATATGTTTTTGTATATATCTGTCATGTATATAACCTATATTAACTTTTTCATATAAGATAAACCACATGACTTTAAGCTTGTGTGCCTGGTTTACTTCACTTGACATCATGGTCTGAAGCTGCATCCATTTTCCTACAAAAGACTCAAGTTTATCCTTCTTTATGGCAAAGTAGTACTCCATTGTGTGTGAACACCTCATTTTCTTTATCCATTCATCTGTTGATGGACATATAGACTGCTTCCAAGATTTAGTATTTTGAGGACTCTCCATACTGATTTCCATGTTGGTTTTACCAATTTACAGTCCTACCAACAACGAAGAAGGATTCCTCTCTCCCCACAGCCACACCAGCATTTGCTATTGATTTCTTGATGCTAGCCAGTCTTTCTGGATGAGATGGTAAAAAGTTAAATTTATTTATTTATTTATTATTTTATTTTACTTTTTGGTCCTGGGAATTGAACTCAGGACCTTTCCAGTGTGAGGCAGGCTCGGCGCCACTGAGCTACATCCCTGGGCCTAAAAAGTTAAATTTAGCCGGGAGTGGCACTTGAATCCCGTGCTGGCCCTGTGCCCAGCCCCGTGCTCTGCAGGGGGACCTGAGCCCCTGCTCTGCCTTCCTGTAGGGCTGAAGCTGCCCTCCCGGGCGTGGTCCCCGCCCTTCGAGTCTGAGGATGCCCAGAAACACAACCAGAGCGAGTACGAGGAGTCGGCGGGCGAGTGCTGCTCCTGCCCCAAGACCGACTCTCAGATCCTCAAGGAGCTGGAGGAGTCTTCGTTCCGGAAGACCTTCGAGGATTACCTGCACAACGTGGTCTTCGTGCCCAGGTCAGGACTCTGCGGGAGCCCCTCGGCCGGGTGCGGGGCCGGTGCTCAGGGGACCAGGGCTTGGCTGCCAAGGGGTGGGGAGAGCCTGGGCGGAGCAAGATGTCCTGCAGGTCCTGGAGAGTAAATCATCCCTGGCAGGAAAATTGTACAGAATCCCTCGTTTGCCTTCTTTACCTCATTTCCCACATACTCCGTCCGAGTCGGTTCCCAAACAAATGCCACGAGGTAGATTTTTGCACAGATTTTGAGAAATGATGGACCAACTCAGCCTTGACTTATCGCTAAGTCTCTAAGTTTCAAACTCAGAGCTCTCTGTCTCTCTCCGTGGAAGCTTCTTCTAGAACTTTCCACAGCTTCATCAAAACCCGGAGATGTCTCCCGTTTAAAGAGGCTGAGTTTCCATAGGTGACTGAAGACCCCGGGCCAGGTACATCTGACTCACACACCTTGCAGTGAACGTGACTCTCAGCTTTAAGGGCATCCTGCAAGAAGGGAGACTTAGCCAGAAAGCACACGCCTATGTTCTAGTTTTTCTAGATTTGGGCTGAAAGTGGAGGCAGATGTTTGTGGATCCAGGGTACGTGGATCCTTTTCCCCCATGCACATTTCTCTGCGCTCCTGTTAGAGAGGCTGAATGTCAGAGCCCTTGGTAGCAGGAATTTTGGAAGTTTGCTGCCTGGGTCCCCTGCTCTTCTGTACCCTGCCTTGGGCAGGTTATTTTCTTCCTCTGAGCCTCAGTTTCCTCATCTGCAAAATGGACCTTATAAGAGTGTCCCACAGTGTACGTGGGGAATGGCTTCCAAGGCCCCTGAGGACACCAGAACTGGAGGGTGCTCGAGTCCTTCTGTTAATGAGCAGTATTTGTGCAGAACCTACACAGACTTCTTATAGCCTAACCCACCTCTCAATGACTTGCAGTACCCAGTATGATGTAGGTGAAGTAGAAATAGTTGTTCTGCCACATCATGTAGGGAAGCATGATGAGGAAAAGTCTGTGTCTGTTCCACACAGATGCCGTATTTTTCCTCAGATATTTTTGACCCATAGTGGTTGGATCCATGGGGATGGAAGCTGTGGGTATGTGTGATTGTAATCATTCCTGTATTTTAGGGCTATGGGATTAAATGAGGTACCCGGGGATTCTTGACACTACTGACACCTGGAACCGGATCATTCTCGGAGGTGGGGTGTCCTGTGTGTTATAGGGTGCTCGGCAGCATCTCTGGTCTCCAGTAGTTGGGATGCCATCTCTGGATGCCAGTAGTACACCCCTGCCCCCAGTCCTGCAGTGTGTGTTCAAATTCACCAACACTGCTCATCCGAGTAGTGTTCCCCAGAATCATCAATGGGTTAATGTTTCTTTCTTTTTCTTTTTGTTTTCATTTTCCTTTCTTGTATTTTTCTCTTATGACTCTGAGTCCAAAAGAACATGTAGTCCACTGCCCAGGCACCAAGCAGTTACTGTGATACCCATGAGAACCAGAGGGCTGTGGGCTGCCCTTACTGGCAGTCAGGTCCGATATCCCACAAGCGGCCCAGCAGCGTGAGTCCGTGGGAGTCTTTCCTCTCATTTCCCTGTCTCTCGCTGAATTCACAAGAAGGGCCATTCGTTCCCACCAGCCAGTGATAAGAAGCCAAGGGCAGAGTCCATGCATTCGCCCATTTTAGGTTACTGTAATGAAACACCCAAAGCTGGCACTTTATTGCAAAAAGAGGTTTCTTTAGCTTACAGTTATAGAGGCTGAAAGTCCGAGGTCAGGCAGCCTCCTTGGTTATGTCGTGTTCGACCGATGCCATCACAGCAGGATGAGTGTGAGAGAGGTCACAGCTGAGACCAGAAGCCCGAGGGAGACCCCAGCCCCATGGGGTCCTCCCTTTTAGGGCTTCTCCCCTTTATGGGCACATTAAGAACCAACCCTCCAGTGCAGGAACCCCGAGTCATACCACATCCAAACCCGAGCCTGAGTGTGAGCTCTTAGACGTCAGGCGGTCGCCCGAGGAATTCCATCTGTCCTCAAAGTGGTCGATTTTGTTTTCACAGAAATCCCTCTGCAGGCAGTGGTGCCCAGGACCCTAGGTACGACTCCCACAGGGGACACCCGTGTGGGCCCCTGGCTGTTCAACGCAGGCCCGGCGGGCTGGGTGGGGCGGGGCCATGCGGGGCCTTGGAGATCTCCCGGGTTTCTGTGGCTTTTGCATGTGACAATGGGCTGCCCCCGCGCTGAGAGAACGCTTCACAGATTCACCGATTAAGCTTCTTCCCTTGGACATGGAATCTGGGAGCGAATGTGGGGGAAAATTGAACTAACACACTCTTCCTAAAACAGAATCTAAGGAGTGCTTCCTAGGTCCTGCCTCCATGCCTCAGTTTCCCCTGTGCATTTTCGCACTGGACATCTACCCACAGCTACCATGTCCGTGTGCAGAGGTGAGGTAGGGTGTCCTGGCTCGGCGGTTCCTACTGGATTTGAGGAGATGGATGCCAGAGCAGGACATTTTTATGAAGTCCAATCTCATTCTTCCTGATGAGCATTTCTCTTGGTGTCTATTCAGTGTAGTAAGACACGGAAGGGACAGCGAGAGCAGAGGGCTCCCATGTCACTGGACTCCACGGAGGACAGGTGGGGTGTTTCCCTGCCAACTTTATCTTAGAGTAGGAAAGTAGGACTCTAGAGGAGAGACCAAACTAGGAGAATTTGGAGAAAGGCAGGCAGATGGAACTGAACTCAAAATGCATCAAAAATCTAAATGTTAAAAGAAAAACAATCTGCTGGAAGAGAAGACAGGAGCAACTCTTGATGACCCAGGTGGAGGCAAGGCTTTCTGGACAGAACCCCAGTGGCACGAGAAGTAAGCACTGAGAACCAGCAAATGGGATCATATCAAATTAAAAAGCTTCTGCACAGCAAAGAAAACAACCAACAGAGGGAAAAGACCACCTATGAAATGGAAAAACCTTTACCTGCTATTCCTTGGAGAGAGGACAGATATCTAGAATATACAAAAAGCTAAAAAAAATTTAGAGACCCCAAAATGAAAGACCCAATCCAAATATGGGCAAGTGAAATGAATAGACACTTCTCAGAAGTACGAATGGCCAATAAATATATGGAAAAAAAATGCTCAGCATCACTGGCCATTAGAGAAATGCAAATATGAAATCTTGCTAGGACTAGGAAGAAATACCGGAAAGACAGGTTGGGGCCACAGAGAAGGGTTTTCTTATAGCACAGAATTTTTAATTTGTTGATTGATTTCGCGTACCTGTGTGGCTTGGTCTGCCCTGTACTGGCTGTGTGAGGTATAAGCTGTAGTCCAGAGAGGCCCAGAGTTTTGTGGCCTTGGTCTGAAACAGGATGTCTATCTCATCCTTATTGATATTTGGAACTGGGTCATTCTCTGGGGTGAGGACTCTCCTGCGTACTGTAGGATATTGAGCAACACCCCTGGCCTCCACCCACTCCAATCGAGAACTGCACCTCGTCCCCAGTAGTCACAGCCAGAATATCTCCTGATATTGTCAGATGCTCCCTAGAGGTGGGGGCAATAATAGCACCCTGGCTGGGACTACTGTCTAGTGTAAGACGTTGGCTGGAGAGCCCAGTGCTGTCTAGCAGGGGGTGGAAGACTCAGTTGATAGTCATGGGGTATTTTAGTATTACACTGGAGTCTTTTTTGGGTATAATTCTTTAGACATACAGGCCTACCCTGGAGATACCACAAGTTCTGTTTCAAGCAAGTCACAAAATTTTTGGCTTCCCAGTGAACATAAAAGTTGTGTTGCTCCTACCCTCTGTTAAGCATGCAGTAGCATTGTGTCTCTTAGAAGTGCTTTTGCTTTATAAATAATAACTTAATTTAAAAATTCTTTATGGCTAGACAATGCTAATGCTCATCTGAACTTTTGGAAAAGTGCCCAAATGTGCTCAAAGTAGGGTTGCCACAGATGTTCAATTTGTAGAAAATGCAATAAAGCAAAGTACAATGAAATGAGGAAAATGACAGTTTGGCCTGTTTGGTGAGGCCATTTTATCTAGCCAAGCATTCAGATACGCATTTCTCAGTGGCTATTTGTGAGCCACAAGCATATTGATTATTTTTGCCAGGCTCATTTATGTCTGTACTGAAATATTTAGAATCCTGCTAAAAAGCATATATTGTAGTCTTGACAAATAGAGCCATTTTCTTTCTTTAATCCAAGAGTACTTTGGTTTTTAATATGAAAACACCACAAAGAAAATCTTAATGAGTCACCCCGAAGGATGATTTGTTTTCTGACCACATATTTTCTGACTATAAAGCAATGAAAGCTAAAAGTTAACTTCAAAAGTTTGAACAAAAAGCAAAGTTAACCACTTCAGTATCTGTTGAGTCAAAACAGAAATTAAAACTTCCTTTAGAGCTTGTTTGGAAAGTAATAAAAGTATGAGTAACATACAGCTTAACTTGTGAATATTGCCAAAGCTTAGGTTTAATGCGAATTAGTAGGGATAAATGGATTTATACACTTGATCTTAGCCAAAAGGCTGAGAAGCAATATACATGGATTTATAAATTAAGATAATAAATTATGATAGTTTGAAAATATAAAAATAGGGCTGCAAGTACAGCTCAGTGGTAGAATACTTGCTTAGCATGCATGGAGCTCTGGGATCCTTCCCTGGCACCATCCCCGAAAAGAATAATTAAATAAAAACATAAAATGCAAGTGTATTAGGGGAGAAAAATCTATTAACTAAGCTGATGGTAAATATAATCAAAGGGAAAAATACAAAACCAAAGGTGATGTACAAGTAGGATCTGAAGAAAATTTTAATGTTTTGAAACTTTCAATGGGGTAGGAAATTTTAGCATGTCCACATTGATTCAAGAAAGCACAGTAGAATTAAGTTTAATAACCTTGGAAAAAGTTGTGTGTCAATTCATTCTCTCAAAAAGGCCCCAGGTCTAGAGAGTTTCATAGGCGAATTCCTTCAAACTCTGAATGAATGACCATTGCCTCTACTGGAGAAGCAACACCAGAGCATAGAAATCTTTGAAAACCAGCCCAGTTCATTTTATGAAACTAAAATAACATTTCTAGCAGTAGAACGCAATGAAGATCCTGCACTAAAAGAAGGCCATAGGCTGTGCTGATCTGTGCCTTTAGACTGGAATGTCTCACATGAAACAGGAAAATAGCAGTATTGTTTATCTCAGAAATGCAGGGATGGTTTAAGATACGAAGATGTGGTAATATAATCTATTTTATCAAAAATCATATAATGTCATTCAATAACATTAATTTAAAAGTCTCAGAGAGAGGAGACAAAAAGAGGCCTCTTATAAAGCTAGGGATAGAATACTTCAACAACATAAATTTTATCTAACAACCACACAAATATCATTCTCAAAATGATCTTTATTAGAGGAAAGTCTAATATCCTCCTTCCTAGTTAACATTTCCTAATGTTTCTAATGGACATCTGGCCAATGCAATAAGACAGGAAGCAAAGTAGAATTGTAAGGAGTGGGGCATGAGAGGCTAGGGACAGAGCACAGCGGTGGAGCTCTGAAGTCCTGGGTTCCATCTCCAGCACCGAGAAACAAAACGAACATAGGAAATAAAATCATTGATGTTTGTAGATCGTCCAGTGCAAGCATGTGTAACCAACCTGTGGCTGGAGGGTTGCTGAGTGCCTGTTTTCGTAAATGAACTTCTACTGGAGTGCAACCACGCCCACTGGCTGCGTGTTATCTAGAGCTTCGTTTGAGTAGCATTGGCAGGACTGAGTGGCTGTGACCCCGCCAGCAGTTTTGGGTTTGTGGGCCGACAAGAACCACGTCTGTACTATCTAGCCATTCACAGGCAAGGTGTTCAGACCTCCCTGTGAGTCTATCCTGAGGAGATTGTGAGCACTTGGAGAAAGTAGGCAGACTGTGAATAAACCCAAAGCCAGCAGAATATGCCAGCAATAGTTAGACTGGAAGATAGGGGGATGGCCCTTTCTTAAAGCCTTAGCACACCGAGTGATGACACCATCTAGAAATACCTGCCGAAGGGAACAATAAAGATTTTTACGGATGGGTAAATTTTAATAAATGCATATGTATGTCTGTTTTGAATCATTTAAAGGAAGTTCACCTGCAAACAGCAAACGGGTAAATTGTACGGTGTAATAGATACGTATTCTTAATATCCTCATACTGGAGATATGACTTTAGATCCAGATGGCTGAATGACTTTAGATTTAACTGACTGGAAATAAAGAGTGGAGGACTAGCAATAAGAAAGACATTAGACATTTGTGGAAAAAAATAAACAGAGGACCAGGATTAGAAGACACGCCGGTAATCCCCGCACTCTGAGGCTGAGGCAGGAGGGTCACAAGTGTGAGGCCAGCCTGGCCAACTTAGGGACTTAGTGAGACCTTGTCTTAAAATAAAAAATAAAAAAGGGCTGGGGATGTAGCTCAGTGCAGAGGCCTGGGGTTCTATCCCCAGTACTATTAAAGAAAAAAAAAAAGGAAATAGTTAGTGAATGCTCCCTATGCCCCAAGTGGGTCAGGGATCTGGCTTGAGCTTCACCAAACCCACGTACAATATTTCTAGGAAAAAAACTACCCAGAGTCAGCCATGGACAGTGGAATTAAGAGGAATTTAAATTTTCTTCTTTATACTCTTTTGGGGTATTTTAAACTGTGTTGGCTGTCAGTCTTTACTTCATACTAGCTCTCTTTGAGGGGTGTGGAGAATCGGGCCAGTTGGACAGATGTCACTCAGAGTCACCTGTGCTTGCCCCAGTACTAAGATTTGTTTGCCAGGAATTGGACTCCTTCCTTCCTTCAAATCCTGGCGCTCCCCACGGTCCTAGGGAGAAAAATGCTTTTGCTGTTTCTGTTGATGATGCCGGTCTGTGGCTTGGGTGGTGGGCGAATACTACTTGAATACTACTTGGCAGGCTTTTCCTGAAAAGCTAGACTTCTCCGTGCTTTTGATGTCTTCGTTCTTAACACTGACTCTGGCCGCCTATTTCTCTGCAAACTGGAAACCCGAAATCAAGCATGCGGAGGGAATGGGGTGGGTGGCTGCTGTCGGTGGTCCCGGAGCCCTGAGGCGTCCTGGAAGCTGCATTTTAATTCACGTGCCCCTGCACCCCTGTGTGCATCCCTGTCTTTCTTTTTCATCAACCCCGGCTGGCACCCTTGTATTTTAGAGTGGTGACGGCGTGACCACCAATGTCCTCTTGTCATTTCAGGCCCTCGCGGAAGCGCAGGTCCCTGGGTGAGGTGAATGTGACCACAGCGGTGCCCTTGGTACCGGGTTTCCCCACCCTCTCCTCCGTCAGCGTGCCCACCAACGCGGAGGAGCACAGGCCCTTCGAGAAGGTGGTGAACAAGGAGTCCCTGGTCATCTCTGGCCTGCGACACTTCACCGGCTATCGGATTGAGCTGCAGGCCTGCAACCAGGATGCTCCGGAGGAGAGGTGCAGCGTGGCTGCCTATGTCAGCGCCAGGACCATGCCCGAAGGTGCTGCCACCGCCTGGGGTTGGCACCCGAGGGGCGGGAGGACCACCTGACCAAGCACAAGCCCAGATGCAGACTTCATGGGGGTTTTTTATTGTTTTTCAAGCCAGGTTCTTTCTGTTTCCTAGGCTGGCCTTGAACTCCTGCGTTCTAGCCGTCCTCCTGGCTCAGCCTCCTGAGTAGTGGGAACTACGGGCTCAGGCCACCACATCCAGCTGATTTTGCTTTTATTATCAGACTCATACATAAATATTATAGAAAGTTTAGAAACAACATGCATGTAATAAGAGAAATCAGCAAAATGAAGAAATATATATCTAGAGTGGATTAGGGTGCTGCCGAGGGAGGCATTAACTGTGTGTGTGTGTGTGTGTGTGTGTGTGTGTGTGTGTAGTATGTGTGTTTCTGTTTCTAGGAATGCGATTACTCAGAGAAAGGGAGAGCGAGGGAGAGAGAGAAGAGGAAGGAGATGGATGGAGAGACGTAGGAAATAGAAGGAGAAAGAAGACAGAATAAAAAGGACTAAGAGGCGGGAAGGAGGAGGGAGACAGTGGGGGCCCCACCCACATGTACGGATGGAACCCAGCTTTACTCAGTCCTCCAACTTAGACACCAGTCCCATCCAAAGAGAAAGCAGCCTTGCAGGAACATCCAGAGTGAACTTTGACTTGGTATCTGGGCACCTCGACCCAGCCAAGTTGACACATGAAATTCATCAGAAATGAGTAAGAACGAATTCAGTCAGCTCCAAACAGCTGAGAGGATCCCCAATGGGCTTTTGTGTATTCTCCCAGAGCTTTACGTGCTCAGAAGGATGCGTACTGTACAAACAATTTTTGTTCATTTATTTTCAGTTTTTTTCATTAAGTTTATTGGTGCATTTTAGGTATACAGTACAGTTACATTCATCGTTGGGAACTTGAACCTTGGCATGATGCATCTTGGTTCTTATTTTTTCCCCATTGGCAACCCTCCCTTCACCCCCTCCACCCTTCCCTATTTGCCAAGACTTTGTTTCCATTTTTCCCTTTTCACGTATTTTTTCTTTTTCCCTTCTTTCCTTTCCCCTCCCCCTCCCACTTCCCTACTCCTTTAGACCTTTTAAAAACATTGTGGTAAAACCACAGAATGTGAAGTGTGCCATCCTCACCGTGTTGAGGTGTGAAGTTCAGTGGTGTGTGCCACATTCACAGTGTCGGGCACCGGGCCCCTTATCTGTCTGCAGAACTCCCACCTCCCAGGCTGCCCCTGTCCCCTGGAAACGCCGAGTGCCCCTCCCCCACAGCCCTGGCACCGCCATCCACTTCCTGTCTCTGGGGCACTGCCGGTTCTCAGACTGGAAGGGGACTCTTTTGGCCAGGGTCCTTTGGTGTCCGGCTGCTCTCTCCGACCATCGTGTTTTCTAGGTGCATCCAAATCTTGCAGAATTTCCTTCCTTTTAAAGGCTGAGAATAATCTTACGATGTTTAAACTCAGTTTTTCTTGGAGGTGGGGGGGCGCACATGAAAATATATCATGGAATTGTGTAGAATATTTCACTTTGTAGCCCAGCCATCATTTTTAGCTTAGAAGTCTTTTCTCAAGAGACATCAGTGACAGGTGTTGACTATCTTGTTTAGAAAATATTTAGAGGGACAGCCTTACATACTCATGTATTATTTCCTTGAAGTCTAATTGTTGGACTGGAATTGCTTGCTCAGTGGATGTACAGTTACATGGCCATCTGACTTTGTTCATTGGTCTTACAGAAATGGGCTGTTTATCTGGTTCAGCTCGGTGCTGTTTTTAATAAATATGAATATATGTTCTGTGAATCTATAAATGTCTCCATATATATATATATGTATTTCTGGACTCATTTTTTTCTTGCCTTCAAAGATCTGTCCATCATTTTTATCCCTTGGTACCACACTTTTAATCACTGGTTTTCTTTTTCTAAATTGTACATTTGTCTTAGGGAGTAGGTGCATGTACTGAACACATCTTGATTCTTTTTTATTCCCCTTCTTTCCCCTCCCACTTTTCTCTTTTCATCTGTAGATCTTTTCCCCCCACTTTTATTATTATTATTATTATTTTTTAGCTCATGTTTGTGAATCATGTTTACATTCACTGCAGTATTTGATACATGTACATGATGCTATACATATCAGGAAACTAATTACTATGATGTTTTTCAAAATCAGTGTTATTGAATTTTAATTTATCTATAATTAAATGCACAGATTTTGTGCATATGGGAAATTCTGCAGTTGATAATTGATTTCCCGATTTTAAGTATGAAATGAAAGATGGTGAACCAGGTCTGAAAATTCCTATCAACCCTATCTTTGTGTGTGCTTTTCTCCAACACAGTAAAAATAAGCCTTTAATAAGCTGGAATTAATTACAGGTGTTGTAAATCACCAGAGATAATTTGTAGTCTAATGTAGGTTCTATGCAAGTCTGACATCGTTAGATACGAGGGACTTGCACATCTGTAGATCTTGGCACTGAGGGGGTGCTGGTCACCCCCACTGTCACCCCGAGAAGACTGTACTAAACTTATGTGAGTGTCACCCTTGGTGGATGATGGGGCCAGGGTCCGTGGGACTCCCCGGGCTATTTTTTGCAACGTGCATTGAGTCTGAAATGGCACCGACATAAAGGTACATGAAGAGAATAACTCACTGTTATTTCCTAGGCATCCTGTGAAGTAAATCTTATCTGTCCATTCCCCACGAAGAAAAGGGGATGTGGATAGTTACATAATAGCTGAAGGTGACTCCACTGTCAGGTAGCAGAAGTGGGATTTGATGCATGAGTTACATCCCAGCCTCTAACTGCTGTCTCTTACAGCCAAGGCGGATGACATCGTCGGCCCTGTGACGCACGAAATCTTTGATAACAACGCTGTTCACTTGATGTGGCAAGAACCAAAGGAACCCAATGGCCTGATCGTGCTGTATGAAGTGAGTTATCGGCGGTACGGGGAAGAGGTAAGCATCTCAGCTCTTGGTTATAAGCCTTTGAAGTTATCCTTCTGACCCCCTTCTTCTGCTTCTGTTCTGGCCCCCAGAGCTTCCTCCCTTGGATGCTGCATCAGCACTCAAAGCCTTGGTGAATGGCTTTCAGGGAGATGGACTGGGAACACCAGCTCACAAACTTTTCTTTCCTAAGTTCTTCACATTGCTTTTAATCCGCACCCTCCCACTGGGTGATGGCTGTGTTTGTGTCACTCTTGGCCAGTCAAGAGACTCGTGTTGGAGACTTATCTGAGTCTGGAAATGAATCACTTCAGACCTTCCTCATGCCTTTGCTGGGTGCCTCCCTATGGTATCAGACACTGTATGATTTAGTGGACGAATACAGAATACATAAGAGTTAGAATCCAGTTTTGAAAAAGCAAAACAATATCTAAGCTATTTTGAGGGCTCCCTGAGTGCTCCATCCATATTGAGTGCTTTAGATTCGGAATCTCATGTATCTAATTTTGTCACATCTAAGATGTTATGAGAATCTGCATTATTTTTATGGACCATTAAGAAAGAAAATGGTGCTCCTAATGGTAATTGCAAGATGGATTCCATTTTTTTCAGGAATGTCCAGATGGACATAATATGCTTCCTGAAATTAGCAAACTACCATAAGTCCTCAGAGTATCGCAGTGAGCTGATATTAAGGCTCCCAGAGTTTAAACCTCTGCCTACGAACAGTCCCGAGTACAAATCCAAGGATGATAGAACTCAGAAAGCTTTATTTTGGCATAAACCTGCTTGGGTATTTAATCCGTATTCCTGAGGGGTTTTTTTTTCCTGATGTCTCTGTCCACATAGCCTTGGGAATTCCATTTTGTAATTGCTACCTAGGATTTAATGTCATGAGTGAACTCGTGTTTATTTTCTGACCATTCGACTCTGCCACTGGGACTCAAAAGAGGCATGAATGTATGTGGTTGTGTGCCAATAAAACTTTATTTACAAAAACAAATGGTGGACCAAGTCTAGCCTGGGAGTCCCTTTGCCCACACCTTGCAGTGGGTGGCAGCAAAGCTGCTTGGCTTTCTGGAACTTTGAGACAGTCTTCCCGTAACCAGGTGGGCCTCCCTTTGCGGACCTCTCCTGAGACCACCTCTCCTTGGTACCCAAATGTTCCACTTTAACAGCAGTTGAGAACTGGGACAGAGAGATATGCAGGCCACATCTGCAGCCTGTTTTCACATGGGCTGCAGAGCACTGCCAAAAGAAATCAAGAGGAATATACAGCATTGACTGTGTGTAGCCCTTCACTGAAAAATTAGATGTCAGAGAACATGAATCTCCTAACTGAAATAGTCATTGTCTGCAGACTGAGGGAGTCCTACTTGCTAAATGGATGGCCTGATTTGCCCCTTTTAAATGTCTTTTTGTGGTTATTGTTGTTTTGAGATGGGGTCTCACTGAGTAATTTGGGTTGACCTTGAACTCACCATGTAGCCCAGGTTAACCTTGATCTTGTGATCCTGTTGCCCCAGCCTCCAGAGTCCTGGGATTACAGCATGTGCCACCATTGATATTCACCACTACAGATTCAATGGTTAGCTTCATTGTTGACCTTATGGGGAAATTTGATTTGGTTCTTGTCCAATTTGATGTGTGACCAGAATCATGGAGAGAATTAAATTTGTGAACCAAGGTAGCACTGTATTTACCACAGAGACTCAGGATTCCTTCGTGATAGTTGCATCTTAATGCTCTCTGCAGGGAGCCTGGCTGTGCCAGGCTGTCCTGCATTTCCAGTAGAGCCAAACCTCATCTCTCTTCAATGCCAAACCAAGTTGTGGAGAGATTCTATCCCAGGATTCTCTGCCAGGCTGTGGTCATGTGACACTCAGTGACCAATCATGCAGCAGAGGAGTACTGTGTGCTAATTGGGTTGGGCTCAGGCATTTAAAAAAGTTTTGTTGAGATACAATTTACATGCTATAAAATTTATCCATTTAAAATGTCCAATTCAGTTTTTAATACATTCATAATGTTTAGTTGTGCAACCATAACTGCAATCAATTTCAGAATATTTCATCACTCCAGAAAGAAACTGCCCTTTTTTACCCATCACCCCTCTTCCATTCTCTCTTGTCTCTCCTCCAATCCCTGGCAACCAGTAATCTGGTCTTTGTTACCATGGAGTTTCGTGTTCTGCATGTCTCATATAAATAGACCATACAATATGTGATCTTTTGTGTCTGGCTTCTTTCACAGGGTATGGTGTACTTAAGGTTCATCCATGCTGTAGCATGTGTTAGTGGTTCATTCCTTTTTTTATGCTTGACTAATATTCCATTGTATACATGGAGTCCATTTTGTTTGTTAATTCCTGTTGAAAGGCATTTGGGTTCTTTCCACCTTTGGGCTATGAATGTTCATATATGCAGTTTTGTGTAGAGATATGTTTTCCATTCTCTTGGGGACACACTGAGGCATGGGATTGCTAGGGCATACAGTAGCTCTGCATTTCACTTTTCAAGCAAATGCCGAAGTCTTTTCTGAAGCTGCGTCACCATTTTACTTTCCTGCTTGCAGCATGTGGTGTTCCACTTGCCCACATCGTCACCAGCTCTTGGTGTGGTCCATCTTTTTGGTTCTGGCCACGCTCATGGGTGAGAGTGGTATCTCACTGTGTGTGGCCTTGGCTTGTGTTTGTAGGGTGGTGAACTTGGAGGTGAGTTTTGTGCACTTCCTGAGGCAGCTGTCCCTCTGGCTTCTAGCAGTCGAGGTCAACCCTGGAATTGGGGTGTAGTGGGCGGGGAGAGGCACGAACCACTGTCCCAGGAAGAGCAGCTGCCTGTGGTTGTTCAGGGCACTGTCACTGCAAAGAGAACACAGATTCTGTGCAGGCAGCTGTAGGAGCTTTCAGTGAAGATGTTGGTGTTACTCCTGCTGCTCTGACCGACTTGCTCCCGTTTGCCTGGAACATTCTGGGTTTGAACACCGAAATATCACATCTGGGGACGCCCTGGTGCTGGGGAAACTGGGGTAGCTGGTCACCCTGTCGACAATGGACTTTCCCTGCCTCTGACTTCCCCCCAGTTTCTCCCTGCTGCCTTCTGCTGGCTCCTACCTCTGTTCCTAGGGCCCAAAGGTCACTGTTCGGGGTTCTCACCATGAATCCCCACCAGCCTCACCCCCAAGCCCATCTCCTATCCACACACGAGCTCTGTCTGCCCTTGAGGGGAGCGGAGAGATGGGGAGGTGAAGAGACAGTGAGAGGCGACAGCTACTTTCTTAAGAACCTTTTCATAGGCATTTCTTTTCCTGTCCTTAATTGCCTAGCATTGCTTTGATAAGGACAACAGTAACATAAAACGACATTGTTGCATGTCACTTATGCCATCGGTGTGCAGTGTCTACCTTTACCCTTAGGGACATATCCCAGGACCCCTCAGGGTGCGTGGAGTCTGGGTACCAGCAAGCCCTATATACACTGTTTCTTTTTCTATCCATACATGCTTAGGATGAAGCTCAGTTTATACATTAAGCACAGTGACACGTTAAAAACTATGATTAATCAAAAACCAAAGCAATCATAGCCACATATTATAAGAAACGTTACTTAAAGCCTATGCACCGTTTATTTCTGAACTATTTAATAGTTGTTGGGGACTACTGTGTGTTTTACCACATTAAAAAAAAATTGGTCTACCACTTGATAGAAGGTATTTTTTTGTTCTTTTTTGCCAGCGGAATGGGCACACTTGCCTCCTGCTGTCAGCACTCTTGAGCGCCCCTCTCTGCCCAATCATTGAGTTGCAGTCATTTGTCCCCTGCCTGCTTCCCTGCCTTCCGGTCAGATGCTCTGTCCCTAGGGACCACCTGCTTCTGGGACAGAGCATCAGGTTGTGTGTGAGCTCGTATCCTTGCCTGGGTATCCTGTGGAGGTTTGAGTCTCTTGTTTGCTTTTTTATGCAATCGACTTCTTCACCTTTGATCAAGTTTCAGTTCTTGTTTTGCTTCTTGTTTTTGCTTTGTGTGTGTGTGTGTGTGTCTAGCGAGAGCACTTTGTCAGTTTCTGGAGCTTTGCATCACGTTCGCTTGCTTTCCACCCCTCAAGATGCCCAGCCAGGGTACAGGACTCGGGTGAGAGAGTGTCTTCCCTTCTGTGTTAGAGCAGCTATCTTCGATTTCTATATTTGCTTATTTATCCCTTCCTACTCGGTGACTCATTCTTCTTGGAAGAAACTTTGGGCCCCGAGTTCCCTGCCCCCACCCCCTGCCACTGCTAGGCTGATTTGTTTTCTTGTGATTATCATCACATGATAAGCTCGGGAGTTTTCACATTTCTTTCTCTTCCCCACCCTCCTCCTCCCCCTAAGCTTTTCCAGCCCAGTTCTCTGCATGCACTGTTAGCTTTGAAACTGTTTCGGCAAGTTTTCTAAGTTGTGGTCTAATTCTTCGCCCAGTGAGCCTCCTGCCTCGCCGAGCAAGCTCCGAGTTCACCTTGGTGATGATGCGCGTCTCGTGGGGTATGCGCCCCGCTTTCTGTATCTCCCACTCTGACAGCCGTCTAGATGGATTCCCGTTCTTTTGATGATGATGAACACCTCAAAAGGCAGCACCGCGGGAAAGAAAGCGCTGTCAATTTGTCCTTGGCTAGGAAGCCGTGGATCTGTACGGTTCTGAGGAGGCAGAGAGACTGGAGGTGTCGGAAAGGCTGGGAGTGACGTGGGCTGTGAGGCCTGTTGATTCCTGCCCGTCCCTGGCTTTGCAGGAGGCCTGGCCGAGAATCCCACATGGGCTGGTCGCAAGGAGACGTTATGAAGCCAGACAGTTCTGGGTTCGAGAGCTGACCTCCCACGGCCCAGCCGTGAGATCTTAGTCACTTAATTGTCTGAGCCAGGGGTCACCCCGTGGGGCGACTCCCTCCTGTGGGCCATGTCCTGGCCCCTCTTCTTCCCTTCCCTTCCCTTCCCTTTCTCTCTCTTGCTTTTCCTCCCCTCTCCTCCCCTCCCCTCTCCTCTCCTCTCCTCTTTTCTCTTTCTTTCCCTCATTCTTTCAGGATACTGAGGATCGAACACTGAGCTATGTCTCCAGCTCCCCTTGATTTTATTCTTTGAGACAGGATCTCACCAAGTCACTAGGTTACCCAGGCTGGGCTCAAATTCGAGATCCTCCTGTCTCAGCCTCCCGGAGTGCTGAGGTCACAGGGGTGCTCCACCACACCACGCTGGACTGCCTTTTTTCTCCCAGGTAATAAGATAGATACCAATCACTTTTACATTTAAAGTGAAAAATAAGCATTAAGTATGTTAATCAACACATACCAAGTTATAGTCAGATAGGGAGAAAAAGTTCCAAGTATCTCTTGGACTGAATGGTGGCTACAGTTAATAATGATACACATTTGAAAATTGCTAAAAGAAGGGCTTTTAGGAGCTGGGGATGGTGGCACATGCTTGTAATCCCAGATTGTAGGAGGCTGAGGCAGGAGGATCACTGTGAGTTCCAGGCCAGCCTGGGCTACATAGAATTTAAGACCCCTGCAGCAGCTTTTAGGTAAGGAGTACGGCAGACCGAGGGAACTTTGATGTTAAGCACCAAAATACAATTTGATAGGAGGAATAAGTTCTAGTGTTCTATAGCACAGTTTACAACAATTTATTGTATGTTTTAATAGAGAAACTAGAAGAGCGGGATTAGAAGGTTCCTACCAGTAAGAAATGATAAATGTTGACGGTGATAAAGGCCAGTTCCTTCCCCCCGATTACTACCCATTGTATACACGTACTGCACCTATAACCTTGTACCTCATAAACATGCACAGTTGTTACATGTCAAACAAAAATATTTGAAAATTAAGCTAGAAAAGAATGCATTTTAAATGTTCTCACTACAAAGAAATAACAAGTACGGGAGGTGATTCGTGTATCCATTCACCTGCTTTGATCATTCCACAGTGTGGGCCTGTATCATGATATCCCATGCTGTCCGTACACACTGGCTACTGTTTTTCATCAGTTAAAAATAAAGTTTAAAAATATAAAATGAGTATTTCATGACATTACACAAAATTCAGATTTTAGTGTTCACAAAGTATTTTTGGCACCTGGTCATGTTTGTTGGTTTTTGGAGGTTACAGATTTGACTTTGGCTATTTTATTTATTTATTATTTATTTATTTATTTGGTACCGGGGATTGAACTCAGGATCTTGTGTTTGTGAGGCAGGCAGTGGAACCATTGAGCTAAACCCCCGGCCCATCTTTTAAAAAAAAATTCTTTTTGGTATGGGGATCGAACTCAGAACCATGCACTCTCAAGGCAGCTGGTGGAACCACTGAGCTAAATCCCTGGCCCCTTAAAAAAATATTTTTATTGGTATGTCCTTGCAGTACATAATAATTACAACCATCTTGGGGAATTGGTACATACACTCATTGCATCTGATACATTTTTCCTTTTCCTTTTCCTCCCCTCTCTCCATCCTAGGTCCCTTTCCCACTTCCACAAAGTCTACCTCCCTGTTTCTTATCATCTCTTTTTATTTTTCTCTTTAAATTATTTATATGTTGGGCTCCCACTGAAGAGAAACCATGCAATATTTAAGCTTGTGTGTCTGATTTATTTCACATCACACTATGATCTCAAGGTGCATCTATTTTTCTACAAATGACTGAAATTTGTCCTTCTTTATGGCTAAGTAATACTCCACTATATATA